GAAGATGAGGCTAGTCAGTCCAGAACAATGGCAATTCAAATTGGATGCCATATTTGCATTCGGTGTATAGTTTTTTTTTTGATATGGCAACAATACTGTGGGGAGAAATTAGATGCCAGTCCCCCTTAGAGGTTTAAGGGTTATACTCGTTCCCCACCCTCCCCCCTGATCTAAACTTCAATTCTCTGCACCATCTTAAAATAACTGAGGAGAATGTGCGACCTTTCCATAATATCAAGAAATGGCTAGATATTCTAGTCTTCTAGGAGAAGGACAAATAAACCAATAGGCCCCGTCTCCTGCAGGGTTAGGGGTAGGAGATGTTAATTTCCCACGCAGGAGATTACTTTGTTGTGGATGTCCTCCCTTGGGGTGGGGTGGGTGGGTGTGAGGGCCGCAGGTTAGAAAACTGTAATAGGTTATTGCGCTTCCCTCCTTAAAATAAAGTTAAATTAAGTTAAGGTTAGCTCTGAAAATGAGGTGTTACTGGCAAATTAAACAATATCCTTGTGTTGACATTTTTCTTTCCTCCCATTTGAGCCATTCCTCCCTCTCGCATGTACAAAACTAAACATAGGAAATCAAATCACCCACAGAATTTATTTCAAATGATGGCTTTATTTGTTCCTGCACTCTAAATAAATTCACTCGCACTAATAAATTAGTCTAGTCTAAGCCAAAGATAAAAAAACAAGCACAGTGCAACAGTTTGGAATTCCTAAAACAGCCTACATATTTGAGTTCTTGCAATGAAAATTAATTGCAATGTCAGAATAGTGCAGGTATTTTATGGAGAGCTTAAAAAAAAATTGTAAGCCTTTGACCCATTTGGGCCAATGAATATTATGAATTCCGAAAGATTTTTCCTACATAATTCTAAAAATCCTCTTTGCACTCAGACACACTGCCTAACTTGGCTGAGGCTGTTTCTTTTACTTAAAAGAAGTCTTGACTGCACGGTCATGTAAGGGACAAGGTGGGCGATAATTTCCACCCATTGGCTTTCCATCACGGTTTATCACAGATCTGAATGCTTCCATCTAAATAAAGGAGTAAACAAAGTAAGCTCAGGAGGGTAAAAACTTACTTGAGCTGCAATTCATCAAGGAAGTGTTCATCCATAAAATGGTTAGGTTGTAGTCAGAGAGCATTAGTATTTTTTGTTAAATTGTTCCCTTTTTTTTTTCTTTTTTTGAGAAGGAAATCAAATGTCCATCTTTTGGTAGACATACTTACAACTTAAATATTTGACCATAAATGAGTTGTGTGATAGAGAGGTTAATATGTCCACTGGTAGTTGGCCAACATTCCACAGCTGGAGGGCAACACTACAACAATAGTTTGTTTATGTATCAGCTGGGATGTCTTCCAGCTCTCAGGATGTTGAGACATCACTGACAATCAGCTAGCAAGCCACTAACTATCAGTTTGATTATTAAAACTGGTTTTTCCTAGGACCATGAACTATTCAGGTTTGACTGATAAGCTGAAGAAGGCTACCAATGGGACTTATGATCCAATACATTGATCTGGAATCATAGTTTGAGGTGATGTAACCTGATTTCATGGATAATTTTTAAAATCTGCCTTTTTTTTGTAAATTTGTAGAACGACAGTACATACTTGGGCTGCTGACACTTCAAGGGGTTGCTTAAACACAATCCACTTGACACATTCAGCCAGAGGGGGAGTGGTCAGTGAGCCATCGTAGGTGTAGTAATCTGTCAGGGCTGAAAAATAAGGCAAAGGTCAAGATATAATGAAATCAAAATCAAATGTTTAAACTGGAATAAGTGATTGACTAAAATTTGTTACAAGTTAACAACAACAATTGCATTCATTTTATGTTTCAGGTTCAGGGGGAGGTGTGGGAGGTTTTTTAAAGCAAGTAAAACCTCTACAAATGTGGTATGGCTGATTATGATCTAGAGTCGCGGCCGCTACAGGAACAGGTGGTGGCGGCCCTCGGCGCGCTCGTACTGCTCCACGATGGTGTAGTCCTCGTTGTGGGAGGTGATGTCCAGCTTGGAGTCCACGTAGTAGTAGCCGGGCAGCTGCACGGGCTTCTTGGCCATATAGATAGACTTGAACTCCACCAGGTAGTGGCCGCCGTCCTTCAGCTTCAGGGCCTTGTGGATCTCGCCCTTCAGCACGCCGTCGCGGGGGTACAGGCGCTCGGTGGAGGCCTCCCAGCCCATAGTCTTCTTCTGCATTACGGGGCCGTCGGAGGGGAAGTTCACGCCGATGAACTTCACCTTGTAGATGAAGGAGCCGTCCTGCAGGGAGGAGTCCTGGGTCACGGTCACCACGCCGCCGTCCTCGAAGTTCATCACGCGCTCCCACTTGAAGCCCTCGGGGAAGGACAGCTTCTTGTAGTCGGGGATGTCGGCGGGGTGCTTCACGTACACCTTGGAGCCGTACTGGAACTGGGGGGACAGGATGTCCCAGGCGAAGGGCAGGGGGCCGCCCTTGGTCACCTTCAGCTTGGCGGTCTGGGTGCCCTCGTAGGGGCGGCCCTCGCCCTCGCCCTCGATCTCGAACTCGTGGCCGTTCACGGAGCCCTCCATGCGCACCTTGAAGCGCATGAACTCCTTGATGACGTCCTCGGAGGAGGCCATGGTTGTGGCCATATTATCATCGTGTTTTTCAAAGGAAAACCACGTCCCCGTGGTTCGGGGGGCCTAGACGTTTTTTTAACCTCGACTAAACACATGTAAAGCATGTGTACCGAGGCCCCAGATCAGATCCCATACAATGGGGTACCTTCTGGGCATCCTTCAGCCCCTTGTTGAATACGCTTGAGGAGAGCCATTTGACTCTTTCCACAACTATCCAACTCACAACGTGGCACTGGGGTTGTGCCGCCTTTGCAGGTGTATCTTATACACGTGGCTTTTGGCCGCAGAGGCACCTGTCGCCAGGTGGGGGGTTCCGCTGCCTGCAAAGGGTCGCTACAGACGTTGTTTGTCTTCAAGAAGCTTCCAGAGGAACTGCTTCCTTCACGACATTCAACAGACCTTGCATTCCTTTGGCGAGAGGGGAAAGACCCCTAGGAATGCTCGTCAAGAAGACAGGGCCAGGTTTCCGGGCCCTCACATTGCCAAAAGACGGCAATATGGTGGAAAATAACATATAGACAAACGCACACCGGCCTTATTCCAAGCGGCTTCGGCCAGTAACGTTAGGGGGGGGGGAGGGAGAGGGGCGGATCCCAGTGATGGTGATGGTGATGCGATCCCTTAAAAGAAGTCTTGACTGCACGGTCATGTAAGGGACAAGGTGGGCGATAATTTCCACCCATTGGCTTTCCATCACGGTTTATCACAGATCTGAATGCTTCCATTTGGGCTGCTGACACTTCAAGGGGTTGCTTAAACACAATCCACTTGACACATTCAGCCAGAGGGGGAGTGGTCAGTGAGCCATCGTAGGTGTAGTAATCTGTCAGGGTCGCTGGCAAAATAGCCTGCATGTCGAAATTGCTGGGCACGGTGACAGAGGTTCCTGCATCTTTCACTTTAGGAATTAAGTCTGTGATTGGCTTCAAGGCTGCATTTTCTGCTCCAACCTTCAAGAAGAATCCTAACACAGCTAAACCATTTGGGCCACCAGAGCCAACAGCATCCTTGAAACTAGGATTTGTTGAATTCCAGTGTACAAAATGTAACTCGGCTGGGTACATCTTTCCATCCACTCTGTGTTCTGAGCCCTCGGTGTCATTGTTTCCCCAGTGAAAATGAAATTGCTCAAAGTTGTACTTAACGGCCAATGGTCCTCCAGTTAGTTCTAATGTCAAAGTGTCAAAACTAATATTAACTTTGGACAAATGCCATGACAGCTCAATAATATTTGAGCAGTGTAATTAAATATATTTGGAGAGGTTTGAATGAATTAGGCAGGTGGATAATTTTTATCCAGTACAATCCTAAAATACATTCTCTCCAGTGCAAATCAGTACAGGTTCTGTTTGTTGAAGTGAACATGGTAGTTTGTAGTGTTTTTCTTTCTTTTTTTTTTTTTTAATTTGCTTTCATGTTGCGCTGTTTTATGCTTGCTTAAAAAAAAAAAATTAGAAAAGAAAATATTTGACCATGTGAATATCAGGTGCAGGAATCTTACATAACATAACAACACGTTTTCTTTTTAAGACTAAGGATGAATAAACATTACCTGTAATCATTTATGGTAATTTTGTTCATTGGTTTTACCTATGTTAATCGAACTGGAAACAATTCTCCTTTCATTTCTGCGGTTTTGTGAAATATAGCGAGCCTTTTTGATCGTGAGTTGGCCGTCCTAACGGCACCATCCAGAAAAAAATTACTGTATTGGGTACTCCAAACGAGCCTTGGTGGACGAGATATTACCAAGGGTCTAGTTTACAGTGTTTGAACAGTCGCTATTGATATTTGCTCGGAGCCAAAAATTACCTCAAGTTCGTAAATCGGCTAATAAAGTGCTTCCTGACATCAATTGAAATATTCGCTCTGTTTTAGATTAAGAAAGCTCCTATCTTTAAGTTTTTGCGTAAGAGTGCAATTACGTAAGACAACTATTGAGCACTAAAAATATTGCTTGTTACGAGAATAAATATGCTTACAGAACAATATACAAAATAACGCGTTGAAGAACCGTTTTTATTGTTCTTAAATTAGATTTCTTCGATGGTTAGAGCGTTCGGATATTTCCTAACCTTTCCAGATAGGCTTTTTTTCGTTTGGGGAGATAATAAGATTAGTTTGGCAGACGACACTATCACTTGAGACAAACAACGCTTGAGATTGGGACGAGACAGGGTCGAGACATGGGTGTGTGTGGGGTGTGTCAAAATAAATTGTGCGTCGGCTTTCGTTATACGCTGCCACCAGGGCCGTTCGGGTAAAAAAGGACTGCAGATGATCTCTGTCATTTGCCATCAACACCAATCGTGTACGGATCTTCGATTTGTTTCACAAACTCGACCTGACTTTTAAGAATCTTTCTCTAGGTAGAACATAACGAATGTTTAAAAAAATATATATTTTAGGTTGGTTTTCTCGGGGAAAGAAAATTCACAGAGGAGACTGACTCAAGTGCAATATTCCAAGGGAGACTAAACAAATAAAACCACACGCTCACGGCTTAATTGAGCGGATTCCATGTTTAGATGAGGCCGAAAGTTTCTTTTTTTCTTTTAATCTGATACCTAAACTTGTCTATTTAAGCGGAGCTGCAGCTTTCTGTCTCTGGATTTTGTAGCCGAGAGTGAGAGCCGCTTTATTTTTTTGCTTTGCGGTTTGCAAATTAGCGTGTACCGTGTCTAAACAGAAATTTAGCCGTGTACATATGCTAATGAAAGATTGTTTACCTGATCCATTTCCAGCACTTGGTTGGAACTGCACAGAATGGCCGTTGTTCAGAAACTTAGCGTCACTAAACGGAACATACTTCGCAGTCAGGGGCTTCAGACCGGAGTCGTACTTTACTTCACCGTTGATTAAATCGATCGGCGATTGATTCTTACCATTGGCTATCGGACAATCTTTGTGCCAATGTGCGGGACCTGTCGGCAAAAAAACGAGATTGAGTTTATTTGCGCAAGATCGAGAGCAAGAAAAAATAAAATTCACGATTACTTGGATCGACTAGATCGAGCAGCAAATTTATCACCCCTTATATCGAGTGCGTTTGTTTTTTTGCAAACACGAAACAAAATTATTGTGATTGCGGGAATATTCCGCTTACCATTATCTTTCTCATAACCCCAAGGTGCCATCGCTACTATCTGAAGGAAAGGACTTCTTCAAGACAAATGCGACTCAAACCTGATAAGCTACTTGTTTTGTAGTAGAGGCTGAATGAATAAATTATATGAGGGCATCAAAGCGTCCAATGACAGTTTTCCCTGTGAAAGGAAGACAATATTGATTATTCGTCGAGTGTCTAGAACAAGTTTGCGGTCCTTGAACTTTGCCGTGGTTAGCGTCAATCGTGAATACATTTGCAAACCCCTGCTGACAAAGTTATAAACTGCTGATGGACAAAATATCGTTTCGCGACCCGCAGAAAGCCCTCTCTCTAGTCTTGCTGTGATAATATTCTCTAAATGTTTTTATCCTTCTCAAAAGCTTGATAGATTTCTCCCCTGCCAAAAAATTAATCGATACTATCTTTTGGCTGAACTAAATTTATAACGCTTTATTCTCGAGTGTCACATGCAGAGGTCGTGCATAGCACGTGTTGCGCAGGTTTCCACCAAAAAAAGAATCGTATCGTTTTTCAGTCTGTACAACGTGGCGCAGAACTTTTCGGCAAAATTTTCAAGTTTGCGGCAAAAATTACTCTTGGAAGCCATCCTAATAGTGCGTTTGCTATTTTTTGACACGAGTTTGTTAATAGCAACATGCGAAGCTTTTTAGAAGTCCATTAGGGATTGTGCAATATATTATAAGTTGATTTGTTTTTTTTTTGTGTGTGAGTAATTTTTTGAAACTCTTTTTTGTTTTAGCGCGTTGATCATCACGTGTAGACTAGCGTATTGGTGGTGTGATTTGCACACCTACCCAATTTTGAGCTCCAGCCTTCATGCAGAGTTTTGCAACGATTGATAAATAATTCCTAGCACGTAGATCGAACGCATGAAAGCGTGTGGGTTTTCGTGCAGATCACAATGGACTCTACCACTGTGACAGACTTAATTCTAACAAGGACCCTCTTAGTTAAGCTTAATCAAACACACACAAGTGTGCAGAAAATTTTTTCTTCTCTTTCTTCATTATATCTTTCATGCTAGGAAAATAGATTCCGACAGCCTGAGTTCAGAATGTTTTACGCACGTAGAGCTCGCACGTGGTATAATAATCTCTTGGACGTCGACAGAGGGGGACTAGTGAGAGAAGTTTCCGTGCCGGTAAACGCTGAAGATTCCTTCCTTTTAGCTGGTACTTTGAATAAACAACAAACCCTAAAGAACCAATAAAGGTCGCAGCCAAAGGGGAAAGGCAACTTGAAAATTATTCAGTACGTGAGTAATATCAAACTCAAAAAGCCGGAAACGAAATCTAATAACGTTTCATAACAGACCTGTCAATAGGTCAAATTATATAATGAAACTTTTGAAAAGGCGGATGGTTGAAAAAAATTGTAAAGCTCAAGAAGATAAAAATAGGCTTTTGGACAGATTTTTAGTGATTACAAGCACTCGTTGCTAAGCAATGGGCGATGTTGTGTGCAGAATGACGATTTGATCATTTGTTATATAATCAACAAAATATCTCTTTCCTTATTGGTCGATAACGAATGCAGAAGAAGGTCATAGGTTGTAATACAGAATTTCCGTATCGGAATATCTAAAATGATTTCGCTATGAAAATGCTACGAAAAGCAAATTGACCTTCGTCTGCCCTATAAGATTATAGTAAATGATAGGTTTACAAAGAAACATAACAGCATTTTCGAACCGCTGAAAATTGTTTCGAAAAATCTGCACTCATCGAGAACAAAGGAGGGTTCAAAGTTATTTCGCAGAGATCTTTAAGAGACTAGAAAGCGCGTGAAATACTCGCGTACTTCGTGACTGATGGTCACTCGTGATGTCGGAAATTTTTCCAAATTTATCTCATTTACGGTCTCGTGCAATAAAGAAGACTTCTTATACATCACTCGCTTCCTAAATTGTGCAGTGCACTCGTGTTCATGTAATTCACTCCACCAAATTATAAAATTCAGTCGCGTTCTTAATGTACTTAGTTGGTTAAGAGCTCTGCAATCTCTTTCCTGCTGTAAGCTGACACCAAATTATTACTTAGTAAGTTCTCAGACTTGGTCTGTAGCTTACGTTAATGTACCGTATTTAAGCCGGCGCCACTACCGGAAATTGAAACAATACTCAGTTGATGCCTCTAAAATATGTCTAATGGCACTCTGTCGGTCGCCGCCCAATCTTGCTGCTCCGCCAATCACAACTCTCCTGGCCTCACTCGCCGTCAATCCTAATCTTCTGCTCATCCTCGTCGTGTAACACGCTCTTTCTGTGTGACGTGGCCAAAAAACATCCGCGAAGGGGTCTTTTCATGTGTCCCTTTTATTATCTGTGGGCTAAAATCGTCAGATGATAAAATGCATAGCATATACTCTGCGATAACGCGAGTAACACACGCGTGAATAAGCAAACACGCTCGCAATCGTGACCTTCAGCTCGCACGTGTCAGTCTAAATCACTTGCTCTGTTTAGAAGCTAAAAAACAGCTTCTCTTGCCGTCAGATAGTATAAGAAAACTAAAATAATGATTTAAAACCTGAAAGATGACCCAACTCCTCGACGGAGGGTTTCCTAATATCAACTGAAAATAATTTTTTTCTCCTGCCAAAATCCAATTAATGGCTGATACAATGAAACCTTTATACACAATACAGTTTACCTTTGTCCTTATCCCTTGGACCCCTAAGAGTGATTAGCATCCAATTTCTCCATACAATATCATCCCTGAATCAAACAAAGACCACGAGAATGAACAAAATGATCACCAACTAAAGGAGCTCTTGATTGTTAAGCAAATTCTCCTAGTCAGCACGTTAGAAAATGTATAGAGAACAATATGGAGGATATACAAAATGATGTCAGGGTGTAAATGGTTAAAGGGCTCTGGGTGTGGGCATTTCGGAACTCCCTGGATTTGGACCTTTGTCGACCCCTTGAAAAGGTTCCACTTGGTAAGTGATTCGCTAAGCCGTTGCTTCCAACACCCAAATAACTGTAGCCAAATTAGTGATGATGTCAAATATTCTCAAGCTGATTTTAAAACTATTTTTACAGACTCTATGAACTGAAACAAGAGGAGAGGGCAGTTGAAATAAGATCAAGGACCACATCAACCTCGTTTCCAGGATCTCTCATCTTCCCACCCTCTGAAGCGAAAGAGGAAGCTGGAGGCTTCTAGTTTGTATCAGCAGGGTAGAATAATGTTGCGTTCGTGAATTTGATCTTAAGAGTTGTAGAAAGTTTCCTTTAAATTAAGACAATAAGAGCTTGGTTTTTTAATACTTTTTTTTTTCACCGTGAGTAGCCTATTAAAATAATCAATACTTTAATTTATTGATGCCCACTTTGGTTTGAGAGAGTGAGGCGACGGAATATCCCTGGCGCGCCCCACCCCCAGCTCCACCCCCAACTAAGGGAAAAGGCCCTGGGAACGAGGTTGACGGAGCGTCAAAATTATCTGATCAGGTCTAAAATGTCAATGGCTGAGTAGAAAAGTAAAGTTTTCTTTGTTGGTTCAAATAACTAATGCATGTATCCTACATTTAAGCCTGCTTTGGCGGTATGATACAATGCGTTGCCAATACTCCAAATGTAAATTGCGTTTTTACAAATCAGAGCTTACCAAGACAATATATACTAAGCTTACTAAAGCCTCAGAAGAGTAACCACTCGCCAAGTTTACATTGTCAAGAGAGATTTGACGAGTTTAGACAACATGTTTGTGGCAAATTTTCAAAGAGAATGTCTATGATGATTTAGTGGTACTTTTTACGTCGAAAATTGTCCAGTTCACCGCCTCCCGGTTAGCTCAATGGATAGAGCGCTGGACTGTTGTGCGGGAGGTCGAGGGATCGAGCCCCCGCCGGACCAACACTCAAGGTCTTAAAATAACTGAGAAGAATATGCTTCCTTTCTGTAACATCAAGAAATGGTTAGATATTCTAGTCTTCTCGGATAGGGACGAATAAATGAAGGTCCCGTCTCCTGCAGGTTTAGGGGTAGGAGACGTTAATTTCCCACGCACGAGATTACTGTGTGATGGATGTCCTCCCCTGGGGTGGGTTGGGTGGGTGCTTACAGGGCCGTTCTGAAAACCACTCCTGTGAGAACGCACCCTGTCTAAAGATTATTATCCATCCATCCATCCAGTCCCGGGTGCAAGAAAAAAAGAATGACTAGGCAGACCCAATTTTCCAGTTTGCATGTAAAATGTACAATTTTTTTCCTATCATTCTGTTCGTTCTCACCCGTTTTTTAACCGATAATCGTTCCCATACTTATGCTATTCATGATATTCAATCTTCGCTTTCAAGTACCGCTCGTATCATTTGAAAAGTGAAAACCATAGACGCTCGCAGTAATTGGTCATTGTTAGGGCGCTTTTTTGATCGAGTGTTGTAAAATCAAAACCAAAGTGATCGCAATGGTCAATCAGAAAGGAGGAAAATATCTTAAAGAGCCAATGAGAACTTAAAGTAATTCACCTAAACTACCTAAAGAGCGGGAAAATGCGAGCGACCAAATCGTGATTCGTTTAAGTTTTGCATCTGATTGGTAGACATTGGCGCGAGTCCCTTGGGCCAATCACAGAGCGGATCAATTTCGACGCTCGATTGAAATTGCTCCGAGGCATACCTTTTAATTAAACTTGGATGGCTCACAATGCTCTTTTGTGCTTGGTATCTTTGTTAAGCCGCTTTTAATAATTCCTTTGTTAACATGTTTTGGTGGGGGACTCAAACACCATTGAATGAAGTTTCTTTGTTACGTGGAACAGGTTAGACCTGGCTAAGTACTTTTGTTCTTTTGGACCTTTTCTATTCATCGGTGGCCCCTTCTCTGCCATTTAATTTTGCATCAAAGGATAACAAAATATGTAAAAAGCCAATAACAATGGAACAAGATTAGCATGTGGAATATTTAACAAGAAATCGCTTATCTTCAAAGAAACATTTTCCGCCTGGAATTAGCAAATAGAATATTTAGTTAAGTAATAGTCGTTCAAAGACAAAAGGACACTTGCCCGCGTATTTTTTGTTTATTTATTTTTTTTTTTCAGTCTTCATAGTGTAATTTGTGTAATAATCGAAACACGTGCTTGATATTGAGCAAGTACATTGTAAATCTTTTGAAGTTACATCGAAGATGATAACAAAGTCAGATAAACTATTGTCAGAATCAAGTGTTATCTAATTCAGTGACGTCCTTAAAAAAGCCATTGAAATAGATCCCGGTGTGCCACGAAACTGTAACAAGTCTCTGTACCTACCGGTGTCCGGTCTTTTCGTCCAAGAGTCTTTTCGTCCAAGTCTTTTCGTCCAAAAGTATTTTCACCTAAGTCTGTTCGTTTACTTGTTAAGTCTTTTCTCGAAGCAAATAAATAACTATTATATTATATTATATCATAGATAAGGCTATATAAAGAACTTATCAACGTGAGCCGTGAAGTGAAGTGAAAACCTTTATTAAACTTCGAATTACAGATAGCAAATAACTATGCTAATATCTTCGAAGATAAGAAATAAAATTTAAATAGACCAAACAATTATGTATAGAAATAAGATATTAAAATTTTAAAGCTAGATTACAGAAAGAACG